AACCTCTTCTGCCTCAGTGTTCGGTTGGAAGTGATTTGTGTGTATCCCCAATTTTTTCCCGGCTGTTGACCAGGGCTGTGTGTCTGTCTGCTCCAGCCGCACCTATCTGGAAAACCCAGGGAGAAAGCAAGGGGGCCCTGGCAAGATCCGCGTGCCTCAACAGGCTGTGAGTGTGTGAGTGAGTGACCATAAGCCGAACCTGGGAGCAGCGTGTGTAACACATGCATAGTTCAAAATCTTCAAAATTTCAGTATTTCCACTAAATCCTTCTTGGTCCATAGTCACAACAATAGTAACTGTTCATAAGAACTATGAGTTCCACAGTTTTTAAACATACCACATGCTGGTATGTAGCTTGCCTTTTGTACTTCCAGATATATTTTATACCACTTATCTTTGTTGTACAATCCCTGGGTTAAGAACGGCCAGCTTAAGGACGACCCATAGTTAAGAACGGAGCCTACTGTAGCAAAATTCAAGTTAAATACACATTGACTTGAGTTAAATACACACTGGTTCAAGTTAATTACACCATATTACTTATACAGTATTACACAATAATACTGTTCCAGCTTACATACAAATTTGACTTAAGGACACACCTTAGGAATGGAACTCATTCTTAAACTGGGGACTACCTGTATTACTTTTCTATTCTGTGGGTTACATCTGTCTGATGGTAACCATGTTAATCCAGAAGTTTAGCTTTATTGCTCTTCTTTGTTTTCTTGTTCTTTAGCACTTATCTTCCATTTTATATAACAAGGAAGATAAGTGAAGGCCAGAGTGTGTAGGGAGACTGAATACTGTTTTGCCCAGTCAAAAACAATCTTCCAGATAAGTTATCTTTGAGTCTGCAAATCATAAATGATCTAGGGACTAATCCCACCTTCCTAACAATCCTTGGTGGAATTATAAAAGTGTGAGCTGTTTTTCATCAGTTGTGCCTTGGTTATAGGATTATATAGAAAGACAGAATTATATGGAAGAGGAAAGAAAGCTAAGTTCTATTTATTCAGGCCTCTCAGCATGGAGTCAATTTTTCAGAAGTTTGAGGGACCCTGTTGTTCCATACCATAATTAGAAGATCATTGAAAAATAGTTATTAGTTGGAGAAGGAAACAGTCTAGAGTTGAGCAGATTTTGGTGTCTAAAACCAAACATCTGCTGGATGATATGGAATTGATGACTGAAAGAGCATGAAGCCTTGCTGCATGTTTGTGATGAAGCTTCAGGCAGGCAATCAATCAGCAGCAGCAGGTTTTAAGCCTTTTGAATATAAGCCACCGTGATCCTTGAAACATTTAAATCATCCTATAAGCTAAAGCACTCAATGAAGATTAAAATAGAGAAAAACTGCTTTACAAATATGATCCCAGCTGTAAATGATTAGCTAATTTAAAAGTTAAGAAAGAAAATCTTGTTCTAGAACTTGTTTAGGTGTGGAAGATTGTGAGGTGCTGTATGTGTGCTCTACAAAATAAATTATTCATTTAGAGATTTGTATGCTATCTTAGACACATCATGCAAAAGCAAGAGTCTTTGGGAAAGACCCTGATGCTTGGGAAAAAATGAAGGCAATAGAAAAAGAGACCAGCAGAGCACAGGATGCCTACAGGATCTCTAGGTACTATCACTGAAATCCCAAATATGGGCATATAGTATAAAAACTTTAAAAAGCAGCTACTGTGGGCCATGCTGGAAAATTGTTGTCCAACAGGTCAAGAAAAGTTTGGGCTTCATTAATAACAACAAAATGCCAAAATATTACCAGGGTGACTTGCAAACATTTTAAAAATCCATGTGCTACCTGAATGCTATTGAGCCAGGGTGTTTGTTGTAACATATAAAGCCCCATTTGCATGGACCTAGATGATTGCAGAGTCACTTAATCCTTATATGCCTGCCTGGAATTAAAATCAGTACACAGCACCTGTTGAAAGTGATATACACTGACTGTGCAGCAACTTGGGAGCTCATTTGTGATGGAAGCCTCCAGGTTATGGAATTCCTGTCTATTTACCATTAGTGCAGATTTTAGTTAGCTGTTCACACAACCTTAACTGAACTAAGATAGTGTGTCACCTGGGGCCTTTCCCCACAATTAAGTTATAGCATTCTCCACCCATCCTTGAACTTGCAGAAAACTATACGGCATGCCATTTGCTGTCCCCATGGCTGATCTCTATCCGCCTCTGTTCCCTGTCACTGCCAGTCACCTGATTTCCAGCCAAGGAACAAAGACTAACAGATTTTGGACATGTTGAGGCTGCCCTTGAGCGGTGTCAGAAAAAGAGGGAAATGATTAACAGGCTAAGAACAACAAATCTGTCTTATTCATGGGCTGAGACAAGATAAATTCAAATATCTTGGGACACAGCAGACAAAAGATGTTGCCAGAACAGGTTTCTGCTGTGGTTAGGTTGTAGTGGGAACATGGCCTTAGAATTGTTGCCATTTGTCTTCTTTTATCATTTTAACTTGAATTTTGTATGACTGCATTGATCTATTGCACCCTCCTTTGGAGTTATTCATAATGGAAAACAGGCTAAAAATGTACTGGTGTAGGCTAAAAATGGTTTAACTATAATACCCAACATAATAATAAATAATAATAATAATAATCCAAAACATCTGGAGCACCACTTGAAGACCATCAGCATTGACAAAATCACCATCAGTCAA